CACACACACACACACACACACACACACACACACACACACACACACACACACACACACACACGTCTTTGTTGTTGTCTTAAAGCTCATCTTTGGTGTTGTTGGCTTTTTTTGCCTCCTCAGCTTTCATGGCCTCGGTGTACTTCCTCCTGTCTTCATCCTCCTGGATACACAAAGGAGAAAAGTATATTTTTAACTGAAAGAAAAAGGCAGCTCTCAAACACACAGACAGCTATAAAAACACACAAAGGCACAAGTGTAAGGATGATCATTCACCTTAGCTCTGTATTTTTTGGCTTTCTCCATCTCCTTCTCTACAAACTTAATCAGGGGTTTCAGCTTCTTTTTTCCAGTGTAAACCACCACCTACGACACAGACCACAGAGATCTCACTGTAATGAGCCTGGTTTCCTCTAAAGAGCAAATAATTCCTTTTTTAAAATCTGTTTTTCGTGATGATATCATAGGCTTTAATAAAAACGATTAATCGCCTCATAATTGCCTCGTACCCTTTCAGCATACAGAGCAGGAAACAAGCAGAGTGATGGGTACGTGCCCTGCACTGATAAGTTGATATCATTGGCTGAAGCATCGATACGAGCGATGACCACGTCCTCGCGCTCCTCAAAGGCCTCAGCTAGTTCCTCCCACAGCGGAAACACAGCGCGGGACTCTTTACTGTAGGGCAGATCTTCAATACAAACACATACGATTACTTTAGGAAGCTCTCTATGTTTGCACTTTTAATCACAACATAAATTTGAACTTTCCTTGTATCAAATGCCCTAAATAAGGGCATCTTTTTTTTTTAATCTGTCAAATTTCATCACATTGTTTGGGATGCATCTCTGCAGTCTGTCTATGGATCTTAAATAGAATTTGAGTGATGGTTTTAGCTGAACTACATAAAGGATTGGCACAGACTTGGTTGCTTGTGTTGGTTTGCTCATTTTCTGAAAGGTTAACTGATCATTGCATTGAAGGGGACATCTTCAAGTGTTTGTATTGCCTGGGAGATCTGTTCAAACACTTTTTTGACTCATCATGTTAGAGAATCTTTTTCCTTATACTCTCAGGGCCCTTTAAATACACTGAACAACTCAAATCATGTGCGTTTTCAATCTAAAGGCTTGAAGGTGCTGTTTAGCTTATGGGATTCAGAGGGTGGTCGCCAATTTTGGTCACCAATGACTCTCAGTATAACTTAGGGCCCTCTTTAAAAAGAAAAACAAATTAAATCATGATATTAAAATGAACAGTGTTTACATACAAAACAGGACAAAAACAGTCTTGTCTGGGTTAAAGGCAACTTTCTCCAGATTCATCCCCACCAGCTCCTTCACTGGTTTTTGGTCCCATCCTTCAGGTATTGGCTCGCTCTGCATCTTAGGCTGTTAGAGATACACAAGTCCATTAAACACATAAAGACGAGCTGCCTCCCGGGTTCTGTCTCTGTGCCACACAGCAGAGGTGAGTGGGACTTACCTTGGCTTTGCCCTCGAGGTAGTCCTGGCAGAACCTTTCTATGATCTCTACGCTCAGGGCGTCAGAGGGCAGATGGTAGGTCACGTGATTTGACAGGTTAACCAGTCGGATTAGGGGAGCCTCAAAGTCCCGCACCCGGAAGTACTCCATCATTCTGCCATTGCGAAGCTCAGCCACGTTCACCAACACAAACAAAATCTGACACACAAACATATACAGCCCTCAGATGCTCCTGTACATCACAACAAGGC